AAGTTGCGCATTTTGATGCTCAACAAAATGCCGCTTTGATATTTAGGATATTTCGAATACTTCCGGAGATATCCAGAAAAAACCGGAATTTTGCAAAATGTTTATTTTTTCCTGACTTTATTTGAAGTGATACTTCAAAAAAAATATTACTTCATCTTAGCCACTTTTTCTCCCCTACAAGATGCTATCATCAAATTTAAAATATGATGTTTCGTCTTTAGACCACCATCATCAACTTTACTTTTCTAAATACGGACCCTCGTTTTTTATTTCAGATTTCAAGAGCTTCTGATATCCCAAAACCTATGACGAATCGCATTTATTCGAAAAATTTATATTATTGGCACTTTCCATAAAAACTAAATGTGTTAGAGAGAGACAGAGAAAAGAATTTTGGTAGGAAATTACTAAGAAGTAAAAAAAAAAATATTTTTTTTTACTACCGTGCGTAAAGTACTCACTTTACGCGCTATTCAGAAGACGTAAAATTTCACTTCACGCACTAGTGCGTAAAGTAATGTCAATGACAGATGTCGACACTGTCAATTTGGCATTTTTCTGGTAAATCACTTCACGCACTAGTTCGTAAAATGAAAATTCTTTACGCACTAGCGCGTGAAGTATTTGACTAAATTTATTTTCGTACACATATTTGATTGGTAGTAGAAAAAATTTTGTATGCAATACTTGCGTAAAGCACCTTTTTTCACTCATGTGATTGTCGCACTCGCCTTCGGCTCGTGCGTCAAAATTCACATTCGTGAAAAAAGGTTCACTTTACACACTTGTTGCATAAATAACTATTTTCGGATAAATGCGATACGTCATAGGTTTTGGAACATCAGAAACTCTCAAAAGCAGAAATAAAAAATCCAGGGTTGTATTTAAAAAAAATAAGTTGATGATGGTGGCCAAAAGACGAAATGTCAGATTTTAAATTTGATGGTAGCATCTTGTAGGGGAGAAAAAGTGGCTATGATGAAGTGATATTTTTTTCGAAATATCACTTCAAATAAAGTCAGGTAAAAATAAAAACAATTTTGCAAAATTTCGAAATTTTTCTGGATATCTCCGGAAGTATTCGGAATATCCTGAATATCAAAGCGGCATTTTGATGAGCATCAAAATGCGCAACTTTGCCATAATTTAACCGACCCTGTATCTCTTACGGTTTCCAAAATCCCAATGATGAGGCTCGAATTTGGGCCACCCTGTACTTACAGATTAACAGGATATACTACCAGGTACAGGTACAAAAAAGTGAAAAAAAATATCTTAAATTGATAAATATGTAGATGAAAATATTACCTTTCATCTCGTAGAAAAAATAGTGTTCCTAACTCGTGCGGAAAGTATCTTTTCCGCACTTGATTGCTTGCCGAATTTCGCTGCGCGTCGGTCGATAAACTGCAATCGCGTGCGGAAAAGTGGTACTTTCCGCACTAGTTAGGAAATATACTATTTTAACTTAGAATAGAGTTTATTCAGTTATCCGAAAATATACATGTATAAATACATTTCTCCTGGAGTGATTTTTCACTGGAAAATTTTGAAATTTTCTTCTAATGAGCTCCTCACTTTCCTCTTTCTCCTGTAAAAATTTCAAAATTTTCCCGTTGCCAGTTTTCCAGAAAAAAATTAAAATGTAAGAGGGTGAATTTTCTTCAATTTTGCCTTAATAAGTCAATTTTCTTTGAGTTTTTCCTGGAATGATTTTTTACTGGAAAATTTCGAAATTTCCCTGTAATAAGCTCCTCACTTTTCTCTTTTTCCTGGAAAATTTTCAAAATTTTCCCTTTGCCAGTTTTCAAGAAAAAAATTAAAATGTAAGAGGGTAAATTTTCCTTAACTTTGCTTAAATAAGTCAATTTTCCAGAATTTTTCCTCGAGTGACTTTTCATTAGAAAATTTTAAAAATTTACTTTAATGAACTCGCTTTCCTCTTTTTTCTGGAAAATTTTCACAATTTTCCTTTTGCCAGTTTTCTTGAAAAAAACTAAAAAGAAAGAAAATGAATTTTACTTAAAAAAGTCAATTTTCCAGTATTTTTCCTGAAATGATTTTCCACTGGAAAATTTTGAAATTTTCCTATAATAAGCTCCTCATTTTCGTCTTTCTCCTGCAAAAATATCACAATTTCCACTCTGCCAATTTTCCAGAAAATAGTTGTAATATAAAAGAATGAATTTCGCTTAAAAAAGTCAGTTTTCCTAAATTTGTCCTGGAGTGTTTTTTCACTGGAAAATTTTGAAATTTTGTTATAATGAGATCCTCACTTTCCTCTTTTTTCTTAAAAAATTCACAATTTTCCTTTTGCCAGTTTTCTAGGAAATAAATGTAATTTAAGAAAATGAATTCTGCTTAAAAAAGTCAATTTTCCAGAATTTTTCCTGGGATGATTTTCCATTGGAAAAATTTGAAATTTTCCTATAATAAGCTCCTCACTTTCGTCTTTCACCTGAAAAAATTGCACAATTATTACTTAGTCAGTTTTCCAGAAAAAAATTGAAAAACTTTGATATTTCTGTGAGAAACTCGAGTTCGAACTGCTATTATCGTCTAGCAATTTTTCAGCGATATTTTCAAGACAAAACCTCCCGCATATCGTGTTTTTTCACATCAGCGCGGTCACCGTTTTAAAGTTATTATTATACATATTTATATGGACATATGGCAACGCCGAGTAGCCATCAACTGGAACCACGTTGATTACGGCGAGCCTACCACTCCGATGGAGCCCGGCTCGAAAAGTCTGGCTCCATTTGGGGGTCAAAAAATATACATGGAATAGGTTTTCTATAAGTGTTAACTATAATATTCTTTGACCATGGTTAGAAATAATATGAAACTTACAATGCTGGGAAAAGAATTAAAAATCGAAGAATGTGCAAGGAATTTAGGATTTATGTTGGACACTGATATAAGATTTCGCCAGCATGTGAATAATAACATTAAAAAGGCTTATCTGTCTCTCAAATTACTTTACCCTCATAGACATCTGCTTACTATCAGTCAAAAAATCCAAGTTACAGACACACTTGTTTTAAGCCACGTTAACTTTGGAGACGTAGTATATGGAATCTGCATAGATCAAAACGACCAACGGAGAATACAAAAAGTTCAAAAATCTTGTTTGAGATTTATATAATATGGCATCAGAAAGTTCTCACCTATTGTTTTACCTGGCTAATAATGTAGAATACTATACATATACTCTGGCGGAGTATAACACTTATACGCCGATCAAGCTGAAAGTCATTGAAGTGAAACTTATACCGTGTCAAAATGATCACAAAAATTACTGTTATATGACATTTGAAAATAAACAATTTTTGTCGCAATTTTGTTCATTGTTTATTAGGACTTGTACCAGTCTGCAATTTCTGCCAGTCAAAACTTAAGCTTTTGGTAGCAACTTATTTAATATAAATTAATGGCAGACGGGAAATAATTGATCTCAAATTTGAGAAATTTTGACATTTTGAAAAATTAAAAATAAATATTTGTAACACTTCAATTTTTCTGCCGGTGTAAAGTACATTATTTATCTAAAATCCATTGTAAGAAAACATGTTTTAGGCGGGAGAAAATTGTTTCAACATCTCAGCATTTTGATATAACTTCAAAGATTGTTAAATATTATTATACCAACTGAGATTTTCTATCGATGTATTACATCGTAAATGTAACATAACTTTAATTTGGCAGACGGGAGGTCGTTGATCCACATGTCCGATTTTGGCGACATTTCAAAATTCGTGATATGACACTTTATACTAACCTAGGGTTTCCGCCCTTTAGCTTCCTTCTACTAATTTTTGTTTAAATTACCTTCACAATATGTAGCAGACGGGATAATATTGATCCAAATCTCCACTTTTCAATACATTTTCAAATTAGCATATCAATGTATTGTCACACGCGGGGCTCTTTGAAATTTCAGCCATTCCACTTTTTATTGCATGAAGAATAACCACCCTTAATGGCAGACGTGAGAAAATCGTTTTAAAAAAATGGTCGTTATGCACCGGTCTATAACTTCTATAACTCTCCAAGATGCTGTCGAACTTAAATTAAAATATCTGCTAAGAGGCACACAAACCCTTTGTCTATGTGTTATCAAATGGTGTTATGAGGTTTAAATAATGCCAATTGTGAATTATTTGCGTTGTTATACCTAAAATTGTTGTTTTTATCAATATTAGAAATAGTGTACCTATTTGAATAGTGCATGTAAATAGGAGTTGGTGTTCCTTCTCCAGCCATATTTTGCTTGTTAAAGTCACGTGTTTTGGATAGGCTAATACAGATAAAGGAAATAGGGCCTTGAAAACAAAAACAACTTTGATAACATACAAGATGAGCTAAAGCTACCTACTCACTAAAAACTCACAGACATATGGGTCAATTCTGTGCACATCTGTAAGCAAACTTTCTATAAGCCTATAGCTGCCTATAGAAAATTTGCAATTTTGCACTTCAATACCTCACAGAAAATCTTATAGAATCGTGAATATTTCCGATCAGGTGTTTGGCAGTCGATGCGTTTTGCAGTGTCTATAGGCTTATAGAAACTCATAGATTTGCTTACAGATGTGCAAAGAATGTAGTCTCTTGATTCAAGTCCTAATCTGTCAAATTTCCAAGAAGGATGGGATGTCAAATGAAAGTGAACGGAAATTATGTTACTGGCTTTCTGATACTCCAGGGTCACCATTTGGATCTTGTAAACAGTAAGAGAGTAGATCTATAAAATTAAACTCCATTCTTTTGTTGAACAAAACTGCAAAACAAAAACGCCACCAACCTTGCAACTATCTGGAAATATACTTTATAAATAATAAAACATTACACTTGGGGCTATACCTATAACTATCATTATGCTAACTCCAGTAACTCCATAAACGTACTCAATACATAATCCGCCTTAAATAAATATATGTTGCTTTATCCAAATTATAAATAATTCAGAGTACCACTAAACGAAATTTTATTAATAGGTCTAGAATTAACCACTCCTGTGTTAGAACAGTCCGGCCCTTTTGGACAAGGCAAGAATCCCCATCCTCACCTTCTAACCATGAGCATGTCTTGGTTATTAGCTGGAGCTCTGCCAGCTTTGTATTCCAGACCGCAGAGGGCCAGTTCACCCAATAGTAGTGCAGCAGGCAGTAGGCGTACAAGTGCAGGTATATTAACACAAATAAATTATAAATAGAAGACAAAAAAGATTCTGGAGATTTTTGAAAAAATATTTTATGTACGACTGGACCTGAAAGTACCTATTTTCGGCCCGCCGTTTCGCAAAGTGGAACTAATGATGTTGGTGACGTAGGTGTCAAAAACTGAACAAGAGTTGTATTTTTACCCTACAAGAACAAACCAAGTTTCATCAATTGGATGTTTGTTTGGCTGGTTACAGTAGTTTCTATTGGTTATTTCCGATTACATTTTGTTGTTTATTTCACTTTGAATAGGGGTCATTATTTATTTACATACATATATGTTTTTTTTTAAATTTCATTTGAATTACATAATGATTATTACTCACGGTCGTACATAAAATGTTGCATTGACCACAGGCGAAAATAGTCCTTGAGGCCTTTTGCGTGGTTAAAGCCCTCGTGTTTTCAATTTCCACGCGGCGCACAGTGTAGCGAAACGGGAAAAAAGTGGACATCAACGTTTCTAACTTACTGATTCTAGTAATACTAATGTAATAATTGTTATTATTAATAAAATTTAGCAAGCATATTTTTCTTCCGAAGTATATTTGTAATTAGCAGTATACAGGGTGTAAAAATTTAACAAATATCCAGTTCTAAGCGCACGCCACACCAATAAGAAATAATATATTTTTAACCTATTCCAATAAATATTCGTAGGTAATACCATAAGAGCTCAGATTTAGCCGGATATTTTTTGGCAAGCAAAAAAATATCCTGCTCAAAATCTGAGCTCGAATGGTATTTAGTACGGCAATTCCACGAATGTAAAATCAAAATAAAATATTTATTTATTTCAGATAACAAAACACTTTTAATAAGCTAAAATCGGGGCTAAATTGATCGAATTTGTGAATTTTTGTGACAATTATTTGACAGATGATTCAAAAACCAATTTAATATGCAATTTTTACTATGGTAACGATTGCATCAACAGAAAATTTATCCGATTTTTTTATCCACTTATATTTTCTCTTCCTTCCTATTTATCCGCTAGCAAACTACAATTTTTGACAGTTTAAATGGGATTATTTATACATGAGTGGAATTGCCAGAAATATTTCTTTCCTAATCTGAATCAACTTCCTCTTCCATTTCTTGTTCCATATCTAACAATTCCTGCGCCTCTAAATATAATACAAACTTTTTTTTACAACTACAATGTGATTTTTTAAGTGTGCAACATATGGGAATTTTTTTTAGTAATAGCACAACCCAAATAAAAACAAGGCCAAAAGTTGGTGCATGTCTGATAATCATATTAGGTGCACTTAGAATGGTTGCAAGTCAGACAGCATACAGGGTAGCTCAAACAATATCAAAGCTGTAATGTAAAGTACCCTTATTTTAAAAAATTCAGCAAAATGTTATAGAGAAAAGTTGTTTGGAATTAAAAGTTATGCCTAAATACCAAAACATAGCCTCCTAAGATTTTTTTTATTTTCTTTCGAAAAAAATCTATAATTTCTATATTTTTTTTAAAATTTTCATTTCCACCTTTAATACTTTCAAAAATTAATTAAAATCAAATCCATTTCTCATAACTTTGCTCAAATTAAAGCATATTTGTAAAATTAACTTAGATTTTTAATTTTTTATGGAATCACAAAATTCATGTTTGTTGCAATGATATTCAACACAACTTTAAAATGTCGCGATCTTTTTTTTAGCAAGTTAAAATATTACTAATGATAATAGCCATATTAAAAAAAACTGTCTTTAAAGTGCAAAAGTTTTATTTTATTTAAGTAAATATTAGTAGAATTTTGATATTTTTTGAGCCACCCTGTATGCTGTTTGACTTGCAACCATTCTAAGTGCACCTAATATGATTATCAAACCTGCACCAACTTTTAGCGTTGTTTGTATTTTGATTGTGCTATTACTAAAAAAAATCCCATATGTTGCACTTTTAAGTAATGATACTGTATATTTTGGTCTAATTGATGAAATTAAAGGATCTGAAGAAATCAATAGATTATGCAGAATATCCTCAATATTCTGTCTTCTTCCAATTTTTCTGGAAAAATTCTGGCGATATATCCTAAATTCTTTGTTCTAGCCTCGGAAGCTTCTTCAGATAATTCACCAATTGGAATTAAATTAAAATTTTTGCAAATTTCGGCTCCCTGAATCAGAAGAATATGAACACTCGTGGGCAAATACACATCGGGGAAACCAAATGTGCTTATTGCCTAACCCCTACCCCTCTTGCCTTGAGGACTAGCCGCTCCTAATAATTTTTCTAAAATGAGAACCCCGTGTGATAGCTCCTTTGAAAGGTTTTTTTTATCCGTCTTTAGAGACGTGCAGAAGCAGATAGAATTAGGATAAACACATTATTTGGTTCCGCCGATATGTATCCGAGACTTTCATGACAATTTTTTTTGTCTATGAGATAGTCAAAGTTACTAAACTGCTGGAACTTCGATACGCATAAAGAAATTTTTTGCCTATTTTTGAAGTCAAATATCTCAGAAAGTATAAGAGATATTTGATTACGGTTTGAAGCATATTGGGGCGCATTGCTTGGTGTTCAAGGTGTATGTATCGCGCTGATAAACAGAAACGTTATCTTCAACATACAGGGTGGACAATAAAACAGTGGAAAGTTTGACAAATTTCAGGACGTCGCCATTTCTTTTCAAATATACTCCTGCTTTTTTTCTGGGTTTAAGCAGAATCAGTAGTTCAATGGTAAAAAACAACTTGAAGGGTTTTTGAATAAATCTCGTAGTTTTGCAGAAATTTCAGTTTAACTGAAAAATTACTTTCATCACCCTGATTCTTTGTCTCAGTTACTCAAAACAATTTTCTTCATTATTGTTGGTTCAACGTTCTCGTCTTTTTTTGTTTTAATATTTTATACAGGATGAAAAAGAAAATTAAATTTTTAATACTAATGATTGGGAGGTACATAAAGATAATTGCGCCTCAGAGTAACTGAAGATAGCACGGGTCGTAACCCGTAAGTAACATGAACTGCAATTTATAGGATAGGGGGCACAAGTTTTCTTTGTTGATTGATATGGCACCCATCTCTGCTTTATTGTATAACCATTCTGAGAGCAAAATATGATTATATTATATTTCCTAGGTGGAAAAGCTATTCTGTTCTCGAGACACCGAGATATTTGGTGAATTAATAGCACGTACCACGTCATAAGAAGGCTACTTGTACAGGGGTGGTAAAAAATACCGGAACGGTTGAATCTCTTCAAATCCACTTATGCTTCTTTCCCAGATTTCGGTATCTGGAGGTTTCTGGGCAAACGAAATTGGACAATGATGTAGGGTAAAGCTGGTAGATCTGACAGCAGCGCGTATCATTGAATCATTTAATTTTGTATGTCTGGAATCTTCCAGATAAAGAAATTTGAGAATGCAGTTTTTTTAAGCGGGTTTGAAAAAGATTCACCTGTTCTAATGCTTTTTACCACCCCTGTATAAATAGTCCCCCAGGACGGCGATTCTCGAATTGTGTGATCCCTGTTCTCATAGGAAAAGTATGTGCGGTTTCTATTAAAATCTATTAAGACGTATTCTCGAAATTAGGGACCGTTCACTTCCTATGAAAATTGAGAGAATTTTATTCTACTACTTTTTTTGAAGAGAACGTCTGTTCCTCAGACTAATAATAAAACTAGAGACCAAACATGCCATCTAGAAATCGCCCAATGTTTACAATCAGTCATCTTTTAGTTCGTTACATAAGTAAGAGAGAGATAGACCTATAAAATGGCAACACTTACGCATGTGGATTTTGCCACTCCCAGTGGCGGCGTGTTGTTTTGAGAAAATATAAATCAAAATAAATAAAATTATGATTTAAGTTGTAATTATAATTTATAATTTATGATTTTGAATCTTTAAAAATAAGTATGTACCTATTATATTTTCATGAAGACCTAAAGCCTTCATGCAAAAAGCAGGAAATTAATTACTAGATACAATAGGTATAAATATAAAATACGCAAGTATAGTATAAAATGTTTATTAAAAATACAAAAAATCGTCCAATAATATCCCATCCAAAAAAGCTGACTATCAGTACATACATATTTTATTTATACATAGGTAAGAACAAGGTATAGTCACAGTTTAATGTATAGCTTTACATTTTTTAACTACGTACCTACTTAAACGACCTAGTTGGTTCATTAATTAAAATAATATATGTATTGATTCAGAAAAAAAAACACGAAATTTTTCACTTCCCTTCTAGTTTATTTTGATTTGATGTGAGATGTTTTGTTGCTACATGGTAGCTTCGTCAGACTAATTCTAAACAATGATTTTCCAAACTTAAATACTAGTTAAATTACAGGTGATAAACTATTACTTAGAATAATAATTATAGGAATATAGGTAATAAATTTAACAAAGGTGTATTATGCAAATCAAGTTGATCACGAAGCGCTTGACAGTTGAGGTTATAAGTGCGCATGCGTCACGTAAGAAAATTACCTTCATTCTGTATTTATACACACCTCTGATACACACCTTATCAATTTCGTACGGTAATTATAATTTTCCCTACGTTAAGAGCGGCGTCAGATAAGAGCCAGCGTGCCATCTTTTAGGCTTTATGACATACATTAAATATTTTTTAATCAGAGGTGTGCAAATTCACTGTAAGTGATTGACTTATTTACAAGTAGATAGTGACATCTTCAATCCCAATTCGTTTACACAGTAATATAAAATGAACTTAATAATTTTATTCAGATGCAAATGAAATAATAGTATTTCACATTATTAGCTAAGTAAAACAGCACCTATCGGCATTTGAAAGAAGTGACTATGCTACCCGAACTCAGCGACATCTTTAAGAGAAGCTCTGAACACACGTTTGGTTTGAGTCTCTGCTGAAAATGACAGTAATCACCTCCTTGTTTTACAGATTTTGATTAATTTTGGAATGAAAACATTATAAATTTTCGGCAATTCTTTTCCTTTTATTT